ATCCACTTATTGTATGATTAAACATAAACCATTTTGTTCCACATAGTTAATATCTATGTTGGTCAAGACTCTTCAAAAACGTTTGACATGTGCCTGTCGAATCTTCCAAAGGTAGGACAGTTTTGAAGGATCCGACATGAGTTCAACAACATTTTTGGGAGAGTCTGAGAAACATAGGTGTTAATATATAAACCCCTACCGTTATCAAGATGATTCGAAGGATATATGCTATTGTGCATTTACAGGACAACAAAGAACAATGTAAAAAGGATGAAAAGAAAGTACCTATTCTGCAGTTTGCACTTTTGCCTCCATCTGAATATTCCTCAAAATGCACTGTTATTCTAATTACCTAAAAAATTAATGCATCCAAATTAGAGAACTTTTATCAAGATATAACTAACAAATTGTATATGATTATAAAGACGTATAGATCTGGCACATATACATTTGGCAACAATTTAGTAACATAAATGAGTTGTGACATATAAACGTATGGAACACCAATTTATGAAAAAAAGAAATGTCATTTCGTTTCAATAAATAAAACAACCCATAATATCCTTTGATTAAAAAATTATTAATATGTTTACTTCCTAAATCATACATTCGAATTATCATCTCCATTATTCTGCAACAAATTCAACATAAAGGAAAGTGAAAATTGTTATTTAAAGTGAATTTAAATTTAAAAGGTACATTGTGTTCATCCTGAGCCTGTAAAATTAGATTGTATTATTAATTCAAAAATTACATCAAGAAGCAAAACCAAAACCTAAATTCAGGCAAAAGGAATTGAAGATTTCATTAACATGGATTATTTTCATCTTCAATTTGAGATTGATCTTTGAGGAACACAATCAAGAACCATTTAACACCAACAAAAATAAAAAAAAAAAAAAAAAAAACTGGTGGAAAATTATACCTATTTCTTGATAAATTGGGAATGAAAAACCAAAGAGGGACTCTTAACAATTAGTTGGTAATTTTTTGAGGGAGCAGAATTTCAAAAATTGCAAAGAAAGAAAACAAAATGATAGAAAAAAAAAGAGGAGAGAAAAAACAATAAGATAGATAGAGGGGATTTTTAAAATTCATAGATAATTTATTTTTTTTGTAAGAATAAGCGTGATTAATGCATGAGATATAGTCATCATATAGATAAGCTTTGATACCAAAACAAATCACGATTATTAGGATTATAGGTTGCGATTGGTCCTAAAGAGTTGACTCCAAACATATTTTTCGCACATAAAATAATTCATCACTAAACAGATCCTTCTACGTTAAAGTATTGACGTAACCATATTGATGCATTATTTTAATTTTGAAGAATTTGAGCAGCATAATTTTGAAGTGTGTATGCAATAAACTGTTGCTTGAGAGATGACATTAGTCATTAATTGCAGATAAATGTATATTTCGAAGTGTTTAAATCAGCTATTTTGTTAAAAATAATTCATCATCAATCATCATTTTGCAAATTTATATGGGCAGTAAGGCTGAGTTTAGGTGGGAAAAAAATTGGCTTATTTTGCAAATGTATCTTAGTTCCACTCTTTGAATTGGAGTTTTGCAAATGCTGGCTATATTTTAAATAGCAGTCCTTAAAAGTAGATATATTTGAAAATCGAGTAATTAATTTGCTTGGTCAACAATGACAAGAGAGGGTTGCTCAAGTGATAAGCACGCTCCATCCTCCAATTTTAAAGTTGTAAATTCGAGTCACGAAGAGAGTAAAATGAAATGCACCTATGAAGATTTTTAAAAAATAATCAGTTGCTTGATCGACAAGAAAGGGTTGCTCAACAGATAGACACCTCTCTACCTTCAATTTTGAGATTGTGAATTCGAGTCAAGAAGAAAGCAAAATGAAACTGCCCCAAGGAGGAGTTTTTTGAAAAAAAAATTCAGTTACTCGATCTAAATGTATGAATAACTAATCAAAAGAGCAAAAAATAAAGGGAAAATACATAAAAAAAAACCCCTGAACTTGGTATGAAAACTTACTTTAGTACTTCAACTACACGGGTGTTTATATACCCCCTAATCTCATTTAAAGTGAATAAATACCCCCCTAAGAATACAAAATCAGTCTCACAGTGGCAAGTATATTACACACGCGCCAAGTCATTGCCATATCAACGCTACATCATTGCCACATCAGAATCGTGTTGGAAATCAATTTTAAAATTTTGTTTTTTTCCTTCCCTTCTTCTTCTCTCTCCCATGTCAGAAATCAATTTTTAAAATTTAATTTTTTTTCCCTTCTCTCTCCAATGGATGCACTACCTTCCACCTCCATTAGTGTTTTCTCATTTCTTGCTTGATTATCATTAATTTTCACTAATGACTTCTCTATTTTCAACCTCAATATCTTCTAACAATTTCACTAATTTCTTTTGAGAAAATTCTCATACATTTTCTATCAATATCCATTGATGTGAGATTGCAACAAATATGGACCTACATTGAATTTTTTACCGATTTATTGCTCTCTTTGGTATTTGAGGACAAATAAATCAACTGAAAATGTAGATGAATTCGACCCTTTAGTAAAAAAAA